GTGTGTGTGTGTGTGTGTATATATATATATATACACACACACACACACACACACACACACATACATACATATATACTATCACAGATACTATCTATTAGTTTTGCTGCTACTTGAGGCCAAAGGATTTCACCTCAGTTCCTAAATAGCCCAGCATTTAGCTAGGGCTGGTAAAAAAAAAAAAAAAAGATTTTAGCATTTGAACAATGTACTGGTCAACTTATTTTAAAAAAAGGGGGGAGCAGTATAAAAATAGGTAGCTGGGGGCAAGTAGCAGGTGATATTGCTTGTTCCTGCCCCACAGATATGATCAATGGCTTATACTCACAATAACCTGGCAATGTGGATATCCCCCAAGTTAAGAGTGTGCAGGGGCAGCCATATGGACTTCATAGCAGTCATCAAGCTGTGGCCACGTTAGGAAACATAGCTTCAGCATGACTGTTGAGGTCCTCAAAACTATATTCAGTCCAAGAGGATTAGCTAAGGAAGCAAATGCTCTGTATACCTTATAGGACCCCTAAACTGTCCAATAGCAAGACACTATCTACAGACCCTTGACACTAGGATTCAGCAGCACAAGAATCCCACATGTGGGATATAAATCAGGAATGCGGTACAATGATGTCTTGGGCAGAACTTCAGTTACAGAAAGCCCTGTCCTAAATGCCCATATACTGCTACCTTCTGGCAATCTTCCCACATCCCAGAAGAACAATCAGTTCCTTTCTGGAAAAGGGAGAAGCAATTTTTCTTCCCCAAAGGAGAATGGAAAGGATTACTTCCCCTCCCCCACCCCACCCCTTCCTTTGCATGGAGAAACTCAACCTATTTCTTGATATACAAAAACAAGGTTGCTAACAATTCCCTCCTTCTTTGTAGAAAGGGAATAGAGTGAAGGGGTGGAGATGGAGAGGGTTTCTCTATCCAAGAATGTATTTTAGATCTGTTTGGAATATTGTAAATATTGTTTGGACTGGTAAAGAAGAAAAGCTGGCACTAACAAGAGCAAGGAGTGGCCATTCTTCTTTCTGCCTTTGCAGATGGTTGGAAGGAGAGAACAGAATGAACACTCAGAAACAAACTTGAGAACACTTTTTTTTCTCAATCAGAATTATTCTGACTGATTATCATATGATAAAAGGAATTATTCTTCTCATGCATTGTGCTTCCAGCAAACATTTCATTCATGTAATGTGTTTCTCTTAGCATGATAGCTATCTAGTTCAAAAATCACTAATAGTATCAGTCAATAACATTGGAATGGACAGGGAAAACACAACTGATCAAAACCAACAAATATTCACAATATTTGTAGTTAGATAGAACTCAGGTTAAGAAAGATTGGTTTACTGTGTATTGTACTATATTTTGCTTGTGTATATTCACAAAATAATCTCCTATATCTTTTTATTCATCTTGATGCTTTCAGTGCCCTGAAAATGCCCTGCATTAAATCATAAATTAGAAATAGTCACTAGCATGCTCTAAAACATCCTCCATTCTAATGCCACTTTATTTTTCCCCTTCTAGTTCCACAGCAAAGAACCTGTTTCTATTGTGAAGCAAATAATTATTCTGGGAACTTCACATGCTTTTGGGAAGCACAGAGTCAGAATTCAGAGCTGAAGTTTAAGATGGAAGCTGAAAGTGGAAGTGAAGTGAAGTAAGGCATTTAATCTATTATTCTATTGCAGGTATAACTGTTTACTGCAGGTTTTAAAAAAAGGTTGAGAATCAGGCACAGATCCATAGATTATATACATCTTGCAAATATCCAGTTCAGATAGGTGTCTGTGAAGGAGGGACAAGTGATGAAGCCTGAATTGTGACATAAATCCTGCCTCTTAAATACTTGTGTGCAATGTTGCAGTGCAAGTACAATAGAGCAGCAGTTGCATCATGATGTCATGGTAGAATTAGGAATGGTTGTTTATACACTTTAGAATGGTATCAGTTAAGCCCTAACTAATAAAATCAAATTTGTTAATGAAGTAGAATACATAGTAAAGCAGCGTACATGAAATGTTCATTAAGAGATGGAGAGAAGAATGTGCCAATAATGTTATGGCTGATGGCATTAGGCCTGTCATATTGTCTAAGCTGGGGCAAAGTTAACATTTATGTTTATTACAAGGTGTAGTTTTTATCTACTGGTAAAATGATCTAATCCATGATATGATAGAGCTACTAAATTTTCTGATCCCATGAGAGAATTGTGTTTATTAACAATAATATATGGGTAACCTTCTAGAACATATTTTCTGAAGTCTGTATTTAAGGATTTTCATTGCTGAAGTTTTAAACATGAGAATTAGTCAGGGTTTAAAAAAAGAAGATGTGGAAATCCCTGCTCAGTTGGATCTTGGTTTTAAATACAGGCCTGCATCAGGAACAGTAATTTGTGAAAATCCCGAGAATAATTCTGAGGGAACAAACCCAGAACTATATTCAGCTTCCTGCAGAAGAGAAAATCCCTGTTCATTCACTGAGGAGTATCAACCAATTATGTTGTCTCTGAACATTTTCAATAAATATGTCTTTGAAAAACATGCCATCAGCTTCTTCATCAAGGACATCTGTAAGTCATGTAAAATACTTTATTTTATCAATTCAATGGGCTGAGGGAACGACACAAAAAAAAACCCACAACTATTTCCATGGTCAAAGATAATTTCTTCTTTTGGCTGCAATATGTAATATGGACAGTAGAGGACAACATAAATTCTTCCATGAGCTTTTCTGAGAGGAAATAATGTTTCAGTTCCCAATCAAAATTTCTGAGTGGCTTTTTTGAAATCAAAACAATCTGCTGGAAAGGAATAAACAATGTGCTTATCCAAATTAGGGATGTCGAATAGTAACCTCATTTCAGGAATAATTTTCACATCTGAAAACCTTACTGCCCATCAGGCTTATAATGTCTTTCATTTTTCATATAGTTTAAAGTCAAGTCTCTTTCAAGTTGAGTTTGACTTCCATGGCTTTATGGTCACATTCCAGTAGTTTCTTGTTAACAGTCTGGAAACGATTTGCTATTGCCTTTCTTCTCCCCTGTCTAGTTCTCAGAACTGGGAATTCCAGGTAGTCTCCTATCCAAGTACTAACCAGGTTTGGTCTTGCTTAACCTTTTTAGACCTGCCAAGGTGAGCATACAGACTAGTTATTTTCACAGAGTATTGACATCATTTACTCTTACACTTACGGTGATCAAAGAGTATAAAATTTTAGGCACAGTATGTAATCTGGGTGAGAAATATTACACCCTCTGAATATACTGGACTACAGCTTTCTTTATCTGATCATTAGCCATGCTGACTAGTGCTTCTGGGAATTGTAGTTTAGGACATCTAGAGGCCCTTAGGTGTCCTAATTCTGATATAGGCTACCCAGATTTTCATACAAAATAATAGACTTCCAGAAACATATATATCAACACAGGAACAATATTGACCTGGTAGAACAATTGCTTTTAGGTTCTTATTCTGGAATCCTTACTTTAAGTTGATTCCTGCCATTTTTTTGTTCCATACCAAAACAGCAGGTAGCTAATATGCATTCACATCTCAGCCTTAATATAAATTTGAACCCTCTGAGCTCTTTAAAATGATAAGTATTAACAGTATGTAATACTGTAAAAGTCTAACTGAAATAGATAAAGTTACAGATAATTCATTTAATTGTCTCATGCAGTAAAGCCGGATATTTCTCAGTGCCAGGTTACCAAACATGGCATGTTGACTTGGTCACCTCCCCCAACGTGGAGCACCCCAGTGACTTATTTTGGGCTGACTTACCAGATCCAACTGGTTTCCAATAACAATGTAAAGGTAATTCTTTTTTCAAGCACATATTCTTTCTTTGAAGATATTTTAAGGCACACAGTTGCAGAACTATGACAATAATAATAATAGGAAATAAGCTAGTTGATGATCTAGGAGCAGACAATCTGGTGTAGGCAGTTCTGCTGTCCTATAGAAGTTTCAATACAAATCTCTGAAACGTTAACCTTTAGCCATTTTGGCTGAGAATGAGGTAACTCAAAATACCTGACGAGTATCACGTTGCCTATTTGTTTTATCTCATTATATATATTTTGGTGAATTAAATGTATCTTATGAATTAAATCAAGGATCCAGTTTATTAGGTATGTTGTTTCCTTTCCAATAGTAAACCTACAGATACTTCTGGAGTGCTTGAAAGATAGTGATCTTTTTTTCATCTATCCATAGCACTATATTCAGAAGAGCATTGCCTCTGAATATGGAAGGTTGAATAATATCAATCATTCAGTTTCTACTGCCTGAAAATAACTTCATGAATTTTCAGCCAATTCAGTTTTAGCAGTTTTCACACACTCTAATAGGCATACTGGAAGTCTGGAAAGATTATGTGTAGGGAGCAAGACAGTGTGGTCCAATGATTAAGGTGTTGAACTGGGACCAGGGAGACCTAGACTCAAATCCCTACTTGATTATGGAACCCACTAAGTTGGACCAGTCACTTTCTTTCAGCTCAACCTACCTAATAGGGTTGCTATGAGAACAGAATGAGGAGAGATTTATAAGGGTCAATTTTTTACTCCTAGAACAAGGACAGGATACAAATGTAATAATGAATTGAACTGAATTGAATGCAATGTCTCCATCTGTCTATCTTGATTTAGGAAAATCGACAGATACTTTGTGGAAACTCTGTGCTTTTTGGGTTTGTCTGTTTAGTCAAGGACCCTTTACAGTTCATTAAATGGAGGTTGTAATTTTATTCTCAGATTTGTGAAGTCGATCATTCATCGCTATTTCAACATGAAGACATTCTGAGATGTACCTATAAACTGTGTCGGTTTGGAGAGTGCTTCATTCGATCCCGGGATCATTATTATAGCAATTCTGCTTGGAGTGATTGGTCAAAATGCAGGTATGGTTAAATAGACCCTTGCTCATTTTTAGTGGTCAGCAGGAGTTTTTTTATTTGTGTTAATATTGCTATTTTTGCTGTTACTTTATTATTTATATTATTTGTAAAACGTGAACTTTTAGGCAGGAAGAAATTTTTTTGCACATAAGTTTATTCAAATCTTATAATACAGACTTTCTTATTCTTAATTTATCTACTTTTACATATTAACTAATAATAAAAAAACCAATAATTTCTATTATTTATTGATAGTGAATCATATCAGAAACAATAAAGCCACATGATGTTGGAACTTGCTATAGTGTTCATGGCATCTCATAAACAAAATTGCTATTTTGATCATGTGCTGTTCCCGCACCCATGTCTTCCTGAAGTTTCATTTTTCCCCAAAATTAATACAAATACAATACAAAAATACTTTAATGACCAAGTATAAAATATATACAAAGAATTTGTCTTCGGTGACGAACAGCAAGATCATAATATACTCAATCAACTAAAATGATGGCTGTTATGCTCCATTTTCTTCAGAGCAGAAAAAGGAGAGGAGGAGATATTAGCTTCCCTCCAATCTTTGAAAAGGAATATTGAGAAAGAAAGATCACAACAGAGTTTCTCTGAATCATGAATGAATTAACTTAGATTGCCAGATGTTGAAAGTTGCATAAGATTATATAGGACAAACTGTACCCATTTATTCATTTGTCCTCTGTGGTCAAACAGATTTTGCAGTTTACTGGATATTTCAAATACATGGAAAAACTGTTTAAATGTATGTTGAGAAGCAGACAGAGACAGAGAGAGAAAGAGAGAGAGAAGAATGAACATTGCAACTCTGCAATAGATATAACAATATTTAACTCCCTTGGAAATGTTTTTCTCTCTTCAAACTGAATGCTGTGTTCAAGAAGTAGAACCACAGCTCAGAGTCATGACTGTGAATAGTCTATGAGTTTACTGATTCTTTCCCTTTTTAAATAAGAAGGTTATAGGTACAGTTAGTCCTTATTTAGCAACTGTCTCATTTAGTGACCATTCACAGTTATGATAGTGATGAAAAAGTAACTTTGTGACCAATCCTCACATTTATGACCTTTGCAGGTGTGTAAAACAAAGCAAAGATCATAAGCACCATCACAGTTGCATTTAGTGACTGCTTCACTTAATGACTGAATTGCCAGTCCCAGTTGTGGTCTCTAAATGAGGACTACCTGTATTTTAATGAGAGCCAGTTCCATGCTGTGGTTAAGGCATCAGGCTAGAAACCAAGAGACTGTAAGTCCTAGCCCTGAGTTAGGCTTAAAGCCAGCTGGGTGACCTTGGGCCAGTCCCTCTCTCTCAGCCCTAGGAAGGAGTCAATGGCAAACCACTTCTGAAATCTTGCGAAGAAAACTGCAGTCCAGGCAGTGGCCAGGAGCTAACACTGACTCAAAGGCACTTACATATATATATATATATATATACACACACACACACACACACAC